ATGGCACTCCGGGCTACGTCGACCCCACTTATGCCGCACCCGCAGGGCCACGCCTAGTGCTGACGTGTACAGGTGGGAAGATGCGGCGTGTGTGCATGCACGCGTGTATGTGTCCATCTTCCATGCAGTAACATGGCACTGCATGTGCATGACACACAGTAGCTGCTTGCCAGAGAGTCGCCTGTTGACGCATGCTGCCCGATCACTCATTGTTCGGACGGCATTTTGCTCATCAAGAGCCACCCACCATGCCCTTGCCCTTTCCCTCGCCTCCCTCCACTACGTACATCTCTCCACGTATTTTCGTCTCTTCCCGCTCTGTCCTTCTTCCTTTCCCCCTCTCCCTCTCTCCCCCCTTCTTCACCCCAGCTTTGGCCTGGTCATGATGGAGTTGCTCTCGGGCAAGCGCGTGGTGCTGCCATGTGGTGGGTGTATTGCACATCAAGGATTGGGTATGCTTCTATGCATGGTTCTTTCCACAATGTCCTTAACCCTAAATCACAAAGCTGCTCGTTGTCTGTTTTCCTTGGTCATTGTTTGTGCTCGGGAAGTCAGTGTGTCCCCTCCATAGTCGCATCTGTCTTCCCCTCCCATCTTCCTCCTCCCTTCCCTCCTTGCCCTTCTCCTGCTGTCTCTTCCGTCTCTCACTCTTTTTCTCAACCGCCAGCCACCCTCCCCAGTGCATTGTTCTTTCCTCTCCATATTGGGCTTTATGCTACTGTATATCTCATCGCATGGCTTTTGCGGTCTCTCAATCATGGCAGGTGGACTGCAGGCTGCGAGTGGGAATAGCACGTCTGTTGTCCACGCGGATCTCAATGCACCAGATGCCATGGCCTCCAAGTTAGTCCAGCTGTCTCTGTCGTGTGTTGCGGAGTTGACCTTGGATCGCCCAACATGAGCCAGGTAATAGTTGAGCTTGAAACTCTGAGCAAGGGATTCATGGGTGGAAAACAGGAGAGAGTAGCTAGGCAGTTGGATGCTTGTATGCAAACCTCTCGTTTAGGCAGATGTCTGGAAGAGGAGATCGATGTGATCAGGAGCACGCATCTAGATTAATGTGCTATCTAATACTGTATATGTGGATAATATACTTTGTAAGTAAAATTGCATAATGTACATAGATTTAGTAACATCGTTCGTTAGTGGGGATGGAAAGTTTGCGTCCGATAGCCGTTATGGTCTGTGCTTGTAGCGAAGCACTGTGGTGATGCCGTCACCCCTAGCAGTGTGCGTGTGGACCCCCAATACCCCGTTCCTTCCGTCCCGTTATGTTCTTCTGACCGTGAATCCCGCTGGATTCATTACACCGAGAATTGTGGAAACATCCTAAGGGGGAAAAATATGCTGGTCAGGATGAGAACTATCTGAGACAGGTAGGGAGCCCCACCTCTTAGTTCTTAGTGAAGTTACACTTTCCCCAGCCACATTCTACGGTCCATCGTCATCGATTGTGTTATTCAGGAATGTCGACACGAAAAGCGGTCGCTCAAGGCAAAGGGAGCTGCTGCTAGTACACTAGGGGGTTCGTCAAAACGGGGGCTGCCCCTGTATGCCCACCCAATAAAATGACACCAGCTGGCTGTGCCTCGAGCTGCTTTCTGTTCTGCCACGTGGACCAAACAGCACTCGTGGGCCGTGCTTCGGTGAACATCTGGTTGTGTGTTCGGCGAGAACACCACCACCCAACCTCCGAATCAGCCGCGCTTCACATCTGGTGTGTGTCTCCCTCGCCGTCTTGTAACCAATTCACGACATCGCACACATCATTGGCGAGTTGTTTACCTGGAGTAACAGCCAATCATTGTGGGTCCAAGAGGACGCAAAACGCAGTAACTGACAATCGTGAACGCTGATCAATTTTCGCCATGCCCTGCTTTCAGAAATTGGCTGGGCTGTGTGGCTCTGGCCCTGGCACTACATTTCGAACATCTGCTGCTGCCAGTTCCATGGGGCGATTGTTGTTACTTGAACTTTTTTCAGGCGCGATCGAAATTGGTGGCAGTACTAGTATCTATCGCATTAGACGTCAGAAACCAAGCCATTGCGTGCGGTGTGAGAAGCCTTTTTGCGGAAACCTACTCGCGGTCGCCGCTTTTGGCAGAAACGACATACCTGGTTCCAGGCCCGACTGGTTTCCTAAAGCGAGAAGTGCGCTGCGTCCACCATCTCTCTAATTCGTCGTCGTGTATTCCTCGCCACCTCCGGCCCAGTAGTGGGCCAGTAGCCAAATATCGGGTCGCGTTGTTCTGATTTCGAAATCACGCGCGGAGCGACCTGTCGGCGAACACCAAGAAGTGACCCGAGCTGCGGCCGCAGCATCTGCCCCGCCGCCGGTTACCCAACACCCCGTCCCCCGCCCGAGTCAGCGGCAGCCATGCGGTTATCGGAGATGCGGTTTGTGTACGGGCAGCTGGGGCACTTGATGGCGGGCATGATCCTGGTGGCCATGGGGCTGCGTGCGCTCGTCTCCATGCTCGACATCATCGTCGCCGCGCTCTGCCCCACCGACCAGTGCCCGAGGCGCTCATGCTCTCCGCCGGCCGCGCCACGGTACGCGACGTGACCGGACGCGACGGGGCGGGACGGGATGTGTACCTTTGGCACCTGGGTAGTCGGGTTTCGGAGTGACGGCACACGCTGAGCCTCGTCGTGCCTCCGTTTCTCACACCCTCCCTCTCCCTTTTGTGCCCTATCCGCGAGATACGGAGAGCCTATCCTATCCTTCTCTAACTCTCTCGACTCCGCTCCCTTCCCCCCCCCCCCCCCCCCCCCCCCTTCCTGCAGGTGGGCGGCATCGCCAACATCATTGTGCGCCCATATTCGGCGGGCTCTCAGATAAATTTGGCCGCAAGCCCTTCCTGCTGCTCGGCATTGCCGGCATCACCATTCCCTACGGTGGGTCTTTGCCGCACCTGACTTCCAGATTGACTTGACTCCCCTGCTCCGTTACTACGTGCACTCTCTGCTAATGTAACTCGCAGCTCTTGCGAATTCTCCTCTTGTCTCCAACGCTGCTTTGTTGCAACCATCACGGCTCGCCCCCCGCCCGTCCCCCTTTCCTTCCCTGACAACTGCCCGTGCCCCTTACAGCCATCCTCGCTACCAGCTCCAGTCGCCTGGCCGTGTACCTGTTCTTTGCAGCGGAGACGGCAGGATCGGCCATGGGGGGCTCGGCGTGGCTCAATCTCATCTATGCCTACGTGGTGGGTGGGCCTGGTCTCGGCCCGCTCAGCCTACTGCCCTCCTGGCTCTTCCCTGCATGAATCGTACCTTGCCTTACCTTACCTTACCTTACCTTACCTTACCTTACCTTGCCTTACCTTGCCTTACCTTGCCTTGCTTGCCTTACCTTGCCTTACCTTGCCTTACCTTGCCTTACCTTGCCTTACCTTGCCTTACCTTGCCTTGCCTTACCTTGCCTTGCCTTACCTTGCCTTGCCTTACCTTGCCTTGCCTTACTTGCCTTACCTTGCCTTACCTTGCCTTACCTTGCCTTGCCTTGCCTTACCTTGCCTTGCCTTACCTTGCCTTACCTTGCCTTACCTTGCCTTACCTTGCCTTACCTTGCCTTGCCTTACCTTGCCTTACCTTGCCTTACCTTACCTTGCCTTGCTCTGCTCAGCAGTTCGCTGCTTCCTTCCTCCTACGCCTCCTCACTCTCGCTGTTCCCTATCCCCCCCCTTCGCACACTCCACACACACCCGCCTCTTCTCTCTTCTCAACCCCTCATCGCCATGCCATCCCGCATCCTCTTGTCGTTACCTGATCCCTCTTTCCCTCTTTCCTTTCTCTCTCTCTCTTGCCTCCCTCATTCTCAGGCGGACGTGACACCCGAGTCCAACAGGGCAGCGGCGTTTGGAGCCATCTCTGGCACCACGGCGTTTGGCTTCCTCGCTGGCCCCCTTGTCGCTCGCTTCGTGCCGCCTGCTTTCACCTTCCATGTCAGTCCGCCACATACTTTGCCCTCTTACATCCTCCCCCTCCCCTCTCATGCTCCCCGCGCCTCCTATCCCTTACTATGCCACCTCAACTTTTGCATCTGAATTCAGCCTGCTAATTTGCAGATTCGCCCCGTTTATAGTCCCATGAACACCGGTTACTGCTATGCGCACGTGCGGTAACCCCATCCTCCATCCCCCATCCCCTGCGCAGGTGGCCACGCTCCTGTGTTTGTGCGGATGGACCTACATCCTGTGCATGGTGCCTGAGTCCGTCCCGTCCCACGCCTCCTGCGCAAGGCAGCATCGCTGGCAGACGAGGAGCACGGCACCACGCCTGCTGCTGCTGCTGCTGTCGCTGCTGTTGATGGCGCTAGTGCAGCAGCGGGCGATCAACACGGGGGAGGGTAGGCGATGGCCGTGGGGGTAAAGTGGGGGAGAGGACTTGGCTGCTGGAAGGATGTGCAAATGGTGAGGGCAGGGGGGATAAGGGCGGGGAGGAGGAGGAGAAGGGGGAGGAGGGAAAGCAGGCAGCAGTGAGGGAGGAGAGGTGGGAGGTGGGGGAGAGGGTGGTGGGCGCGCAGGGGCTCGGGGCGTGGGCCCCATGGGGGAGGCAAGGCGGTGGCGCTGATGCGCAACAGATCGACACTGCGGGAGGCCATCCACGTCATGTCGTCCAGGTGCAACGGCAGGGGGCTCACTGCCAGCATACTGACTGCCAGCATACTGACTGCCAGAATACTGACTGCAAGAATACTGACTGCCAGAGTACTGACTGCCAGAATACAGACCGCCAGAATACAGACCGCCAGAGTACAGACCGCCGGAATACAGACAGCCGGAATACAGACCGCCGGAATACGGACCGCCAGATTACGGACCGCCAGAATACGGACTGCCAGAATACAGACCGCCAGAATACAGTCCGCCAGAGTACAGACCGCCGGAACACAGACAGCCGGAATACAGACTGCCGGAATACGGACCGCCAGATTACGGACCACCAGAATACGGACCGCAGAATAACGACCGCCAGAATACCGACCGCCAGAATACCGACCACCAGAATACCGACCGCCAGAATACCGACCCCCAGAATCCTGACTGCCAGAATGCTGACTGCGGGGAAACTGGCTGCCAGAAAACTTTCTGCCAGGGGTGAATGGGGCTGAATGGTTTTCCTTAGGGGTTCAGGAACAGCAGGAAGAAAGCTATGTTTCTTGTGGAAATAGGGCCAGTGAGGGGGGAAGAGGAGGAAAGGCTGCTGCTTTCTATGTTTCCCATGGATCCCTTCCCTTTTCCTCCCACCCCTTCCCCTTCCCTCCCCTGCGTGTGCAGTCTCTCGTGTCCGTGCTGCTGCTCGTGGCCTTCCTGCACGCCTTCGCTGACAACGGCCAGACGTCCAACATGTTTGTACGTCTCCCCATGCGTACCCTCGTCTCAACCTCAACAACAGTAGTCCGCCAACATCGAATCCCGGTCTGATGCTTCCTTTCACTTCATGCCAAGTGGTCGGTCCACCATGAAAGGTGGGGATAACATAGGAATTTTACGCTCACCGTTCTCCCCATCCCTTGCGCCCGTCCATCTCTCTTCTCTCTCTCTCTCCATCTCCCCCCATCCCCTCGTGGCAGTACGTGTTCAAGGCCAAGTTCCACTGGAACAAGGACGACTTCTCCCTCTACACGGCTGGCATCGGCCTCTTTGCCGTGCTCTCCCAGGTGCGCTGCTCTCCCAGGTGCGCTGCTCGCCCAGCCTCGCTGGTTCTCAGGTATGCTGCTGCCATTTACACACTTCCTCACACCTTCCCTCACACGCACATATTCACCTGCACTCTCACCCATTCTCAACTGTTTCCCCACTCGCTATCTCTCCCCCCCCCCCCTTTCCTCCCCCCACGGCCCTCCACCAGCTTGTGCTGCTGCCGCTGCTGCTGCAGGTGCTCTCCCTGCGCTCGCTGCTCATCCTCGCCATCTCAGTCAACAGCTTCCACGTGAGTCAAGTCGAGTCAAGCACCACCAGTCTCCTCCTCTCATTCAAGGCACGCATTCTCCTCTGGGTTGAGTCGTTCTCATGTGAGTTAGGCACAATCGTCTGCCATTTCCGAGTTTTTGGGTGCGAGCTGATTCAAGAGAGCTTTTGAAATCCAAGTGAACGCAGTTGGTCCTTGGTTGATCTCGTTTGCTCCCAGTCAGTCAGGCATGGAAAGCACCGAGAGCAGCACCCCTGTGATTCCTCTCTGTCCACCTCTCTCCCCAGTTCCATCTTTCCTCGTTCTATCCACTCTGTCCCTTGTGCATATGTGCCCGTTTACGCGTGTGGGTTTGCACACATCTGTCTGTCCGTCCCTGTCCATGCATTTATGTGGCTGTACTGTGCCTCCCTGCCTGTGCCTCCTGCTGTGCCTCCCCTGCCTGTGCCTCCCCTGCCTGGGCCTCCCCTGCACTCAGATGGTCCTGTACGGGCTCGCCTGGAAGCCATGGGTACGTCCCCCCTCCCACTCCCGATCCACTCGGGCACCCACCACCCATCTATCCGCCCATGCCTGCCTGCTGCTAGTCAGTTATAACGCGCCCTTAGCCATGCGTGCGTGCATGAGTGCCATGGTCGCAGCAGCTAGCCCGCGCATGGCAGCAGCCGCACAACTGGGCATTGCCCCCTGAAGCTCTCTCGCTGCTCTCAAATCCAGCTGTCCTTCGCAGGGCTTGTGGCTTATGCTTTGAGGCGCCTAAGTTGATTTGCATGGTTTGTGGCATGGCATGGCATGGCATGGCATGTGAGCAGGTGGTGTACCTTGCACTCTCAATGAGCCTCATCTCCACGCTCACTCAAACATCGGTATGCCTCTCCTCCTTCAAAGGCCTCCAATGCTGCTGACAGGTTGCTCAAAGGGATGCTCACCGTTTCTTTCTCTCATGCCCAGCTCGTGTGTACTGTAAAAAGTGCATCCACTGTGATTCTGTCTCTCTCCTCCTTCCACGAGTTCCCTTACCCTTTCCCTGCCTCCCCCATTGCCCCACTCTCCTCCTCAGATCGGGAGCATGGTGTCGCACCTTGCAAGCCCCAGTGAGCAGGTCAGTCAAGGGGTGGCTGGGATGCGTGGCGATGCATAACTGCACTGCATCCATGGCTGCACTGCACTCATGGCTGCACTGCACCCATGGCTGCTCTGCACCCATGGCTGCACGGGTGCATGGCCGAAGGGGTGGCTCCATGCATTCCTCCTCCTTCCATTCCACCTGTTCTTTCACCCGTCTGTCCTCCTTTTCTCTCTCACAACCACCTCCACCATGTTGTGCGGCTCAATGTGAATCCCCACTTGTCAGGGCAAGCTGCAGGAGTGGTGTCTGGGGTCTCCTCCCTCTCTGCCGTGCTCGCACCTCTCACCATCAACCCCATCACTGGTGAGCTCACTCCCATAACACGCCGTGGTTGCATTGCACCTGCCCTCACTCACAGGCGCAATGGAGAGGACGGTTGTATGGAGGGGACGGCTGTATGCTATGGAAGGGGGGGTGATATGAAACAAGTGGATTACGCAGAAGAGGAGAGAGAAGGGAAGCACAAGGGAGGGACGTGTTCTACAAGATAATATTTGAGAACATGCTGCAGGTTTTCCTCTTTTGTCTTCACTCCTCCCATTCTCCACCTCCCCCCTCCCATCTCCCATCTCCTGTCTCTCCTCTCCGCCCGCCCTCTCTCCCGGCTCCAGCGTACTTCATGTCTGACTCGGCGCCCATCCATCAGCCCGGAGCCGGCATCATCGTTGCAGGCATTGTCGAGGTAAAGGCCCATGCGCTCCTTGGTCTCATCCCCTCCTTGCTCTCCTCCCCTCGTTCTCAATGCTCCCATGGCCCCAACCTCCCTTCCCCCCTTCCATCCCCTCCTGATCAACGTGTCCTTGTCTTCGCTGCTGCACACATCCCAACCTCTCGCACCGCTCGTCACACCTTGCTTCGCCCTCTCCTCCCCCCTTCGTCCTCACCTACCCTCCTCTGCCCTTCCACTCCCTCCTGCCTTTCCGGGTTGCCTCTCATTGCATCCTCTCTAGGCGGTGGCATGTGTCCTCGTGCTGGCACTGCCGCCTGTTGCTGCCAAGCCGGGAGTGAGAGCACTGACAGACCAAGATGCAGGCTCACCAGCACAAGGAAGCCAAGATGATGGTGCTGCGTCTGCAGGCGATGGTTATGGCAGGGGGGTTGCGTTAGATGCATCTGGATCTGGCTCATGTGGTCGAAGCAAGGGCCAGCGCACGGTCACATTTGAACATGGCTTTAGCAGCAGCAGCAATGGTGGAGACAGCAGAGGCAGCAACAGCAGTGGTGCCAGGGATGGTGGTAGCAGCACAGCAGCAGCGGCAACAACAACGTCACATCCACAGCTGGGCGAGGCATTGATGGGAGCAGAGAGGGGCATGGCGGCGACAGCTCGATCACCACACCGCTCCTTACATAGCATGTGGATATCAGGATCATCCTGTCCTGCACTCCACACCCTATGTAACCAACATCTGAGGTGCCTTAGAATCATCCCTCCTCATGCACGTTGGTGTGGCGAGGGCGAAGCCTTCCTTCGCACGTGTCTACTACCCCACCTGTATATTGTGGGCATTACCTCCCAGCACCAATAAAACCTGTGCACAGCATGACACTTACCGGTACGAGCTTTTGGAGAATTTGTGTGTAAAAAAGCGGCGCAAATTTGGGTTTCATTAAAATCAGTTGTCCAAACAAGTGCTCGGTATCAGAATTGAAAATTGAATGATAGATAGAGTGAGAGTACACAAAGATATACCTAAGTGTTGTACTCTCTAAGAGGTGACCCTATACAGTCTATACAAACATGACAAATACACATGTTTGACACACCCCCTAGACTGCATAGGGGAATGCCCTAAACAAACAGCTCAGGGCGGCACTACTAGTCCAACCTCTGAGACAAGGGTCTAAGAGACCAGTCAGAAGAAGTACAAACAAGGCAAGAACAAGGGCAGGGCGGCACTACTAGTCCAGCCACTGCGAGACGACACAAGTCCAGTCTGAGTATACGTATAAAGGACAATACAAAGTCAAGGTCCTAGCAAGTGAGAGGCTACAGGAACTAGACCAAGCTGTACACAGTGCCGCTGATGATCTTTAGGCGCAAGCGCCTTCGTAAAGATATCAGCTGTGTTGGCACCTGAGGCCAAGTGTACTACGCGAGCCTGACGTCGCTGCTGTAGCTCACGCAGGAGGAAGTACCGCAGCTGAATGTGCTTCGCTCTGCCCTCGAGTCGAGGCTCCTGACACAGGAGGATCATGGCCCTGTTGTCAGCGAACAGGACCGGGGCAGAGCTAGGCCGCTCACCTAAGTCAGTGAGCAAGAAGGTCAGCCAGCGGAGCTCCTGTGCCGCCATGGCACCAGCGTAGATCTCGGCCTCACAGCTGGACTGCGCTACAGACGAGGAGCGGGTAGCTCTCCACGAGACGGCAGCTGAGCCAAGGCTGAAGCAGTAGCCCTGGGTAGACCTGAGCGTCTCAGCGTCGTCTGCCCACGAAGCGTCTGTGTGTCCAGTAAGGACCACTGGCCTGCGTCCTCCTAGCACTAACCCCATGCCCGATGTACTAGCAAGATAATGCAGAACCCTTTTAGCAGCAGACCAGTGCTGCGGTCGGTGTCTGCCTGTGGCCACAAAGCGAGCCAGGATGCTGAGAGGGTATGCGAGATCTGGGCGAGTGCAAGTCATCAGGTACATGAGGCAACCCACCAGCTCTGCGTAGGGGCCGCTGGGCTCTACCAACTCCTCAGACACTAGAGCGGAGAGTCTGTGGTCTACAGGCAGAGGGGTGGGCTGTGCAGAGGAGAACTGAAGGCTGAACCTCTGAAGGACCTGGCGCACCAAGTGTGACTGAGTCAGGGTGATGGTGCGCGCAGCTCTGTCCCTGGAGATCTGCAAGCCAAGGTAACGGCGCAGTTCTCCAAGGTCAGTGCACGTGTGTCTCTTCAGAAGCTCTGCCTTCACGGAGGCCAGTGCGTCCCTGTCTGCTGTGGCAAAGACCAGGTCGTCGACGTAAACAAGGATGTAGAACGGAGTCTGGCCAGCACGAACGAAGAGTGAAGGGTCTGCGGAAGACGGAAAGAACTGCAGGTCAGCAAGGGTAGCACGAAGAGTGTCCTGCCACTCACGAGGAGCCTGGCGCAGGCCGTAGACGGGGCGCCGCAGGAGCCACTGGGTACCAGGAGGGAAGGTGCCAGTAAAGCCAGGAGGGCGACGCAGGTAGACCTGCTCGTGTAGGCTGCCCTGAAGGAAGGCAGTGGAGAAGTCGAGGGAGTGAAGCTCGTAGTCACGCTGAGCCGCTAGGTGTAACAGAACCCGAAGAGTAGTCATCTTCGGGGTCGGAGCGAAGGTCTGGAAGAAGTCCACCCCCTCGCGCTGACTGAAGCCTCTAGCCACATAGCGCGCCTTGAAGACCGGCGGCTCTCTTGGAGGGCGCTTCACCTTGAAGAGCCAGCGGCCATCGATTACGTTCACCCCAGGTGGGGGAACTGCGTCGACGAAGGTGTCGGTGGATCTCCAAGATGCCATCTCCTGCTCCATGGCAGCTATCCACTGTGAGGCCCAGGGTCCCGAGGTCGCCTCAGCGTAAGTGCGAGGGGTCGGGATGTCGAAAGCGTCTGGGTCACCCTCAGGGACTAGCAGCATGGAACAAAGATGGGGAGCAGCCTCGGAGAGGAAAGCAAGCTCGAACTGGCGGTCCTCCAGGACGTCACTGCCAAGGGCAGAAGCACCCCCGACAGACGGAGGACAGGCAGGGTCAGAGACCAGAGCGGTGGCGTAGTCAAGGCGGCGGGTAGAGGCGAAGTCAGCGACAGCAGCGACAAGAGTGGCAAGGCACGGGACCGGAACAGACGGGTCGGTAACGAGAGAGGCAAGGACCCGAGGAACAAGAGGACGAGCGGCACGAAGGTAGTCAGACAGCGAGGGGGGTGCAACAACAAGGGAGGACGGAGGAGGCGACGGCAGAAGGGGAGGGCGAGACGCATGGGAACGAAGCAACATAGGGTGGGAGCGCAAGACAGGGGAGGCAGGACGAGCACGGGGGGGTCGGTGAGACCAGACGTGCGACGGAGGAGTCGGGTCAGGAGACAGGGGAGGGGACACAGGAGGGGAACGAGGGGGGAGACGAGCCGGGGACGAGTCCGACGGAGGAAAAACAGGGCCGTAGACAGGAAGAGGAGGAGACGGTGGGGGAGGAACCGACGCAGGGTCGGGGAACGGAAGGCCGAGCAGGCGAAGGGCGGACACCGGCGAGGACTGCTGCTACGGCAGCACAACGGCAACACCTGGACCGCAAGCTGCGCCTCGGCTACCACCAGCACTCTCCACACCCGCACCCCCAGAGGGACCACCCCCAGGGCGACCGGGACGTGCACCCCCAGAGTCAGCGAACGGGTGCTGCGACGGCGGCGGCGGCGGTGGCGGCGGCGGCAGCGACAACGACGGCTGCAGCGGCGGCAGAGGCGGTGGAGGAGGGGACTGGGAAGGGGACGCCAGGGGAGGGGCGGCCGGCGAGGACTGCACAGGAGGGCCACCAGAGTCAGAAGACTCCCCAGCCAGGTCCACCGACGGAAGGGGGGTGACGTGGGCCACACCAGAGGGGGCGGGACGGGGAGGAGGAGGAGGAGGGGCAGGGACTACCGGGGAAGGAGTGACCAGGAAAACGGGGGGGGTAACCGGGGGACCACGGTGGGGGAAGCGACGGTAGTAGGAGACGGACTCGTCAAAGGTGACGTCACGAGAGTGAAAGAAGCGGTGAGATGGCGGGTGGTAAAAGTGCCAGTCGGACGCGTTAAGGGGAAAACCGAGGAAGACGCAGGGAAGGGTGCGGGCAGTGAGCTTGTCCGTGCCGGAGGCACGGACGTGAGCAAGGCAGCCCCAGACGTGGAACGCAGACGCGTCACCAGGAGACCCAGTCCAAAGACGGGTCGGCGAAACCTGCGACTGCTGAGGGTGCGGCCACAAGTTAAGCTGGTGAGAGGCGTAGCGCACAGCGAACGGCCACAGAAAATGGGGTGCACCGGCATGGATCATGGAGGTGCGAGCCACCTCCATGACCAAACCGATGCGTCGCTCAGCGACCCCATTCTGCTGTGGGGAGTCCGGTAGGGTGAACGTCTGGGTGATGCCCTCCGCACGACAGAAGCGACCAAGGACACCTGAGGCAAACTCGCCACCACGGTCTGAGTGAAGACGCAGGACAGGGAGACCGCGGTGGACACGCGCAGAGACAAGCCAGGGGATGAGAGCGCCAGGCACGTCGGCCTTGCGCTCTAGGGGAAAGACTGTGGTGTAACGAGTGAATTCGTCGACGAGCACAAGGAAGTAGCGCTCTCGACGCGGCCCAGGGACAGGGGCGGGGCCCCAGACGTCCAAGTGCAGGGTCTGCAGTGGCGCAGAGGTAGGGGGAAACGAGGAGGAGTGAGGGGCACGGCGAAGCCGACCCTCGACACAAGGCGTGCAAGGGGGGGCTGGGGAGGAGGGAAACGCGGGGAGAGAACCTGGGAGACCAAGGACAAGACCGTGCTGGGACATGTGACGCAGACGCGGGAGCGCAGGGTGACCTAGGCGGTGATGCCAGAGGAGCGTCGGGTGAGTGAGGGACCGACAGGAGCAGGCAGCAGCAACCTGAGTAGACGCAGCCACCTGAGGGAGCGCCCCAGCCGAGGGGGTCACGGTGTCCAGAGTGAACAGGCCAGACACCGGGTCCCGGGGGAACGTGGACAGGGGGGCACCGGTGGCGGCCTCGGTACAGACAGCATACCGCTCGTGACCAGGGAACGTAGTGGTGACGCCAAGGTCCTGGAGGCAGCCGACACCAACTAGGTTCCTGGAGAACGACGGGATATGCAGACCTGTAAGAGAGCCCGAAGGAACCGCCGGGCAGGGAAGGGTGGTGGAACTGCGGGCGACTACCGGACCGCTGGAGGGGTCAGCAAGAGAAACGGCAGCAGGAACAGGAAGCGGCGTCAGGGTGGTGGAGTCGCGGAAGAAACACCGAGAAGCGCCAGAGTCCAAGGTGAAGGAAAGCGAAGCAGAGGCATCTGGCGACGGAACGACGGCGGAAGCACCAAGACTACACAAAGCAGAGGATCCTACGCCTGACGCAGCAGGGGAGGCTACTCTAGGCACACCTACACTAGGCAATAGTGAGTAATAAGCTGGAAGCACACTAGAGTCATCAGCATACATCACATGCAGAGCAGACACAATGGCATCCATGTCCATATCAAAGATCTGAATCTTACGACTAAGCAAACTGTGCCAGTCCGGGAGGTCTGGCGACGGGCCGAAGCGCTGACGAAAGAGGTCGTCCAGGCGACGAAAACAGCGGGGAGTGGAGTGACCGATCTTACCGCAAACGAAGCCGCGGCGAGGACCGGTCTGGATCTGGTACTGACAGCGCCCGCCACCAGAGCTACCACTCGGCACACCACCACGCGCCCGGCCACCGCTAGCGCCAGGCCACCCGGGCGGGAGGACACTCGGCTGCCGCGTCTGCGACGGCTGCTGCGGCTGCGGCGAAGGCTGCGACTGCGGCGGCTGCTGCGGCTGCTGCAACTGCAGGGGCGGCAGCTCAGCCGGACTGGGCAGGGTCCCCTCGTCCGCTCCAGCACCAGACGACCCGACCCCACCACTACCCCCTCCCGCACCCCCGCCTCCGCCGCGCCCAACCTTGGGGCGGCGGCCCTTCCCCGAACGAGACTGCGCTGCAGCAGCGGTCTCAGCCACTGCAACAGAGCCGTCGGAGAAGGTACACTGGGCGGGGGCACAACCCTGAAAGATAGGGACCGGCACGACACCGCTCGCCTGGGCGATGGAGCGGTGACGGGTCTCTATCACAGTCAGGGTGTCTACAAAGTCAGTGAGGGTGAGATCGGCGGGGTGAATGCTAAGGAAATGGTCGCGGGCGACAGCAAGGCGGTCAGGGAGGAGGGTGGCAAGCAGGTAGAGGGTAGAGGTAATGGGCGGCTGGTGGGCTCTAAGCTGTGCGTCAGTGCAGGCGGCGCGCCAGGTCTCCTCTATCGAGCGCAGGTGGGTAGCGAGGTCAGAGACAGTGGGGAAAGATGCAAGGTTAGGAAAGAGCATCGGGAGGATCAGGCGACCCACCGAGGCAGCCGGAGGGGTGGAATAGCGCTTGATCACAGCATCTAAGTATGCCTGAGCAGTAGTGAGAGACCTAAAGCGAGGACGCTCGGATGGGGGGAGGGCGTTGCTAATGGCAAGCTGGGCGACAGCATCGCGAGAAAGCCAGACAGAGCGCGCACGGGCAGTGGCAGCAGTAGACTCACACTCAGTGGGTGTGGGGTCAGTGGGCAGAATAGAAGGGGGGTCTGGGCAGGGGAGCGTACCGTCAAGGTGTGCGGAAAGCGGTTCACCATCCTGCCGCTGGCCAGTGAGTTGGCGACGGAGGTCGGCAAGCCACGCCTCGAACTCTAGGGGCTGACCTTCAGCGTCGAAGCGAAGCTCCGCCGCCATCAGGAACAGTCCAGTGCGGTGCAGGGCAGTGCAGCTAGGTGGGGTGCGGTGCAGTGCGGTACAGTGCGGTACAGTGCGGTGTAGTGCGGTGCAGTGCGGTACAGTGCGGTGCAGTGCGGTACAGTGCGGTGCAGTGCGGTGCAGTGCGGTGCAGTGCGGTGTAGTGCGGTGCCAGGCAGGACAGTGTGATGCGAGGCGGCACGGAGCAGGGCGGGGTGGGGGGGAACCGTACCAGTGAGGAGGACGGGGCCGGAGCTGGCCCGACGGGGCCAGGCGGGCGCGACGGGGCCGGGCTGGTGCGACAGGGCCGGGACGGGGCGACGGGGCCGAGCAAGCGGGACGGCGGCCGGGCGGGTGCGACGGGGCCGGGCGGCTGCGACGGGGCCGGGCAAGGTGCGACGGGGCCTGGGAGGAGCGCGACGAGGCCCAGGAGGGGCGCTACGGGGCCCAGGAGGGGCGCTACGGGGCCTGGGAGGAGCGCGACGGGGCCTAGGAGGGGCGCTAGGGGGCCTGGGAGGGGCGCGACGGGGCCTGGGAGGGGCGCTACGGGGCCCAGGAGGGGCGCGACGGGGCCTGGGAGGAGCGCGACGAGGCCCAGGAGGGGCGCTACGGGGCCCAGGAGGGGCGCTACGGGGCCTGTGAGGAGCGCGACGGGGCCCAGGAGGGGCGCTAGGGGGCCTGGGAGGGGCGCGACGGGGCCTGGGAGGGGCGCGACGGGGCCTGGGAGGGGCGCGACAAGGCCCAGTGAGGGGCGCGACGGGGCTAGGGGGGGTCGCGACTGGGCTAGGGGCTAGCGGGGTGAGCGGAAGCGATAGGTGGGGGGGGATCCTACCTACGCTCTGATACCATATCATAATTGAAAATTGAATGATAGATAGAGTGAGAGTACACAAAGATATACCTAAGTGTTGTACTCTCTAAGAGGCGACCCTATACAGTCTATACAAACATGACAAATACACATGTTTGACATGCCGGTGGTGGGTGGATCAGCCAGCGGTGCAGCAACAGGGTACCGGCACCAGCAGGAAATTGTTGGATACCCTCCCTCTCATTCCTCCTGCATTCCCTCAGGTGCTTGTCACCCCGTACAGGTGTGTGGTTGGGGAACGTGTAATAAGGGACCTTTTCAATAATTAGTTACCGTAGACTTCATGCCAACCAACATCCCCTCTAGTAAAAAATCTAAACCATTTCACTCACGGGTTGTCCGAAGCGTCCAGTGCAGTAAGGCGCGTGCTGTTTGAAAGAGGTTTGTTAGAAACCTAAAACGGTTGGGTAAGGTTTTGAGGGGAAATGAGCGCTCATGACGTGCCCTCAGTATGTTATTCCCACCGCAAGTGACTCCTTTTAGTGCATCCAGCTACGATTCCACTACCCTCAATCCTGTCAACGGCTAGTCCTCCGCACCGCGAATCGCGACATCCTCCGTGTGCGGCGCATCCATGTGCAGCGCGGATCGCACGGACCGCGACTCCACCGGGTACTCTTCCTCCGCGGGCAGCAGTCGGAGCGCGTCCTCCACCTTCCCCTCGCGCACGGCCAGCCGCTGCACCTCGCGGAACACGTCCGTGACGTCAGCGATGCGCGCGATGTACTCGCCTCGCGCGTACGCCGAGGCGGCGTCGCCTCGTAGACCGATCTGGATGGAGCGATAGGGCAGGCGGTTCAAGAGCACGTCGCGCTCCGGATCCCACTGCACCACAACCTGGCTGGAATTTCTGGGATTCATCGAATTTCTGTTGTCAGGACGGTTTCCCTCGTTACAATGCGTCTCGTTATGACTCCGGTTTGCGCTCGATGACGCGTCGCCCTGGTTCTTCGCGAGCACTGCTGACTCGAGTATCCGATCGAAGCACTCTCGTTTCAGATCAATGGCCAGGATTCGCTCCTGCCCGGCGTCTTTTAACGAGTACCCCGCGCGGTACGCCATCCAGCAAAAGGACGGCTTGATCCACGTCATGCGCCCGAGCTTGAAGCCCGGGCTGGACGCGAAGTGGTTGCATTGCGATGCGGGAGCGGCGATGCTGCGGCTGTACGCCTGGTACACGCGGACCGTCGATTCCGTGAACGACGCGCGGATCTGACGCTCGGGGAAGAGTGCGAGGGGCGTGCTTGCCGATAATGCGGCGCTGCTGCCACGCGAGGAAAAGGCTGAATCGCTCGACTGTGCCATGGACAATGCTCGTGGTACGTATTATCTGAAAGGAAATCTCAGGAACCACGGTGGATACGATCTCGAGTGTTTCTGCACCTGGGCGAAGAAATGCATGACAACGGCGTGCTGCACCCTAGATTTTATGGAAGGTGCGTGGAAAGCGATGGGAGGAGCGAGGCGAGGGCGCCATACTCGGGAGGATTTGATGCGAAGAAGGCGTGCAAGGCACGAAAAAGGTGGCGTGACAGCCATGGCGAGACGATGTTGAAACGCTAGACTTGAGGGCGAGCGAGCAAGGTTGGGTGGGGGAAGAGTGGTTGGTGGTTGGGGGGGAAGACGACCGAGCGTTCCATGTGTCCTCGATTTACACCCGCTTCGTTGTCGCGAAGTGTACCAGATCGTTCCGCCGTTGCCTGATGCAATAAATGAGTTCCTGAAAAAAATGCCACCATGTAGTGCTGGTTACTCATACATAACAAATGGAAAGATAATGCACATGTTTCCGATGTTCGGATAGCCTTCGTTTACATACAAATTTCCTTCGGCCTTGGGGTGTTTTTTTTTTCCCCCAGCTAGTGCTTAGCGCCCTAAGGCTGGAATTGTGAAATATGCAGCTGCTCGCTTGAAATTCCTTCCTGCTGCCTGTGTGGGATTTCCGTCAAAGCCGCCGAATCGCGATTCATCTCTCCACTTCCGCCGCGGAACCCAGCCGCCATGGCGCTGCTCGTCGTGTCGTGGCTCCTCTCGCTGCTGCTGTCGCTCACCAGCCACGTGGACGCAGCGCAGTGGCAAGATTGCGGTGAGATTCTTACCGCCAGCATCGATCGGTCGAACCCGTAGATTCCCCGAGCCCCGTGAATCCGTCGGACCACGGCGCGCTTCTCTCGCGGGTGTTTCAGCCTCCGTCGCACTCGCCGCGCCACCGCTTCGCTCCCCTCCCTCGTGCCCTCCACTGGCTCTCGCCGCCGTCTCATCCCGTCCCGTTCCGTACACTTCCGTGCAGGGAGCTCCCTGCTGCTCTGTGAATCGCGGGCCGAGCAGAGCCACCTATTTGCGCTTCATCCTCCCCTCTCCTGCCCTCTTCGGCCCTTCTCTCCCCCTCTCCTCGACTGCCCGTATTCTCCCTGACCTGCGCCTGTTGCTTCAGGCTCCGGGCACGTGCCGGTCACGGTGCAAAACGTTACGATGCTGCCCGACCCGCCAGTCAGCGGCTCAGAATTCACAGTCGTGCTGCCCGCCGTCACAGGTGAAGTGAACCTGAGGGGTGGTGAAGTAAATATATGGGGAAGGTGATCTGAATTTGGGGGGAAGGTGATCTGAATTTGGGGGGAAGGTGATCTGAATATTGGGGGATGGTGACTTGATTATGGGGGGAGGGTGATGTGAGAAACCCTCATTCACTCTTACCTTGGAATTGGAACTCAATGCCCCCATGCATCACTCACTCCCCCCATGCATCACTCACTCCCCCCATGCATCACTCACTCCCCCCATGCATCACTCACTCCCCCCATGCATCACTCACTCCCCCCATGCATCACTCACTCCCCCCATGCATCACTCACTCCCCCGACGCATCACTCTCTCCGGCTCCAATCTCAGGGTGAGAGCCAACGAGGGTTTTGATTCCAAGGCGGTGGCTTCCCCTTTCCCGTACAGCTGAGCGCAGGTAGTAAGAGTAACGGCTGCATTACGGCTAGCCACTTTATGCGTCTAACGTGCACCTCCCTCACTTGCCATCTCCTTTCTCACCTCAACAGCCAGGCGCATTCAGTCGGGAGTGGTAAGGGTGACGGAGGCGCACTACGGCTGGCAACTATGTATGCCTCAAACTTGCAGCCCACGCTCCCCCCCCACCCCCCCGCTCCCCCCGCGTGCCTCCCACCGGTTCTTTCCTTTCTTCCTGGATAACAGGCGAGCGCATCCAGTCGGGAGTAGTCAGGGTGACGGTGGCATACTACGGGTGGCCCGTCTACGCCTCCAACGTGCAGCTCTGCGCCAAGACGCTGTGCCCCGTGCTGCCAGGGGAATTCACCTTCTCTAACTCGCAACCGCTGCCGTACATCACACCTGCTGTAAGCACAAGGCTGCCGTACATCACACCTGCTGTAAGCACAAGGCTGCCGTACATCACACCTGCTGTAAGCACATGGCTGCCGTACATCACACCTGCTGTAAGCACACCGCTGCTGTACATCACACCTGCTGTAAGCACAAGGCTGCCGTACATCACACCTGCTGTAAGCACATGGCTGCCGTACATCACACCTGCTGTAAGCACACCGCTGCCGTACATCACACCTGCTGTAAGCACACCGCTGCCGTACATCACACCTGCTGTAAGCACAAGGCTGCCGTACATCACACCTGCTGTAAGCACATGGCTGCCGTACATCACACCTGCTGTAAGCACATGGCTGCCGTACATCACACCTGCTGTAAGCACATGGCTGCCGTACATCACACCTGCTGTAAGCACACCGCTGCCGTACATCTTAGTTGCTACAAACGCGTTTGGCGTTTGAACGCTAGCGTTTGAACGCTAAACGCTCGGCAGTGTGTATGTGAACGCTAGGCAAACGCTTGCCCGGGCAGGGGTAAATTTTTTACCCGGGCAGGGGTTCAAGATTCTTGTGGGGGAGGGGGGAAACATGGGGGTTCTACCAGCAAGCATTTTGTCTCGTAAAAAAGAACCGTAACATTTAAGCCAGCATCCTCATATGCCATGTAAATCACCTATCCTTAATGCTATTCTCTAACGACAATCTCGTGTTTTTTGGGGGGGGGCAGCCCGAAAAATATCCCAGAGAGCGTTTGCGTTTTTGGGTGCGTTTGGCGTTTGCGTTCAAACGCAAGCGTTTGAACGCTAAACGTGTGTCTGCCAGAGCTTTTGTAGCAACTAAGCCGTACATCACACCTGCTGTAAGCACATGGCTGCCGTACATCACACCTGCTGTAAGCACAGCGGTTGCTCATAGCAGATTCCCTATAAGCACAATGCTGCTTTCTATCACACCAGGCGCCATTGTACGCTTCTTGCATTATGCCACGCACACAGTCATGTTAACAATCTTCCCGCTTCCCATATGTGATCGCAGGGGCCTTACACTCTCTGGCTCAAGGCACGGAACAATAATGGCAGCCCTCTTTTTTGCACCAAGGTGGATTTCAACATTGTGCGACCACAAGCGAGGATGGGCTCCTCCAATCGCCGTGTACAGACAGCTTAGTGCTAATTCTTGGTCGCCATAGACTAGACAGGCACATGAAGGCTCGTCCAGTCATGTACGAACAGCTTTTTTGTAGACTAGTTGTAGTTCGTTGGGATGGTTGGGTAGGGCTTTGTGCAAAAACGTGTCTGCTTTGGAAGTAACACGATCCATGATAGGTCTATCATGAAAGGTTGTGCCAATATACTGTCAACATATATTTTGTATATGTTATAGGCTAGATAAGGGCATGTTCATAGAGAGTACAACACCTTAGGTTATACTCCCTTGTACCCTATCATTCTAGTCAATCTTTCTACTCTAAGATGGTATCACGCTAGGTTAGGATCCTGCCTCGCCCACCCGCGCTTCCGCCCTAGTCCTGCCCGTAGCCCGCTGGCCGCCCGTAGCCGCCAGCCGTCCTTAGCCGCCAGCCCGCTGGCCGCCAGCTGCCCGCCGCCCGTCGCTGCCGCCCGTAGCCGCCAGCTGCCCGTAGCCCGCTGGCCGCCAATCGCCGCCCGTAGCCGCCAGCCACTCGTCGTCGTTGGCCGCCCGTCGCTGCCAGCCCGCCTGTAGACGCTAGCCGCCTGTCGCCGTCGGCCGCCCGTCGCTGCCAGCCCGTCTATAGCCGCTGGCCACCTGTCGCCGCTGGCCGCACTTCGCCGCCAGCCCGCTCGTAGCCGTTGGCCACCAGTCGCCGCTGGCCGCCCGTTGCCGCCAGCCGCCCGTCGCCGCTGGCCGCCCGTAGCCGCCAGCCGCCTGTTGCCGCCAGCCGCCAGTCCTCGTTGGCCGCCAGCCGCCCATAGCCGCTGGCCGCTCGTAGCCGCCAGCCGCCCGTAGCCGCTGGCCACCCGTAGCCGCTGGCCGCCCGTTGCCGCCAACCCGCCCATAGCCGTTGGCCCGCCTGTAGCCGCCCGCCCATAGCCGCCAGCCGCCGCCCCCACATCGCCGGCCGTAGCTCCACCGGTCCTAGCCCGACCAGGCCCTCCCCATCGCCGAGCCGAGCTGACCCGCCAGCCTTGGCTTCCCCTCTGAGCCAGCGCTCCCGTCTGCAATCTCCACTGCTCTCCACCACACTCCACCGCTCTCCACCGCACTCCACCACTCTCCACCACACTCCACCGCACTCCACCACACTCCACTGTACTCCAGCGCTCTCCATTACTCTCCACCGCTCTCCACTGTCCTCCTCCACTTTCCCTCCTCCCCTTGTCAGCGGCAGTCAGCTGCTACAGCCGTGGTAATGGCGGAATCTCTGCTCCTCCTGGACGCGGAGGGTCGGGCCGTTGAGTTTGAGGCGTGGCTCATCGACCTCCGCCGCCAACTGACCGGGCAGCGCCAGGACGGCCACTCCCTGGCCGTCCATGTCGACGGTAAGCTCCCTTGCCCCGCCCCGCCTGTTGCCCACCATGATGCCCCCATGTCTGCTGAGCGTGAGGCTTTTGTCGCTGTTGACCTTGTGTGCGCTGTCTGGGATTCGCGCGACGACATTGCACAGCTTGCCATTAGTCACGCCCTCCCCCTGTCTGAGCGTCCTCGCTTTGCCGCTATAGCAAACGCCAACAAATACTTAGATGCTGTCATCGCACGCTATTCCACCCCCGCCTCAGCCTCTGCCGGCAGTCTGATCCTCCCCATGCTGTTCCCTGACCTTGCGTCCTTCCCCACTGTCGCTGACCTTGCAACTCACCTCCGCGTACTGGCGACTAGCTACCACGCCGCTAGCACTGAGGCACAGCTCACTGCCTTCCCTCCGCCGCTTTGCGCTATCCTTTACCTCATTGCCATGCGCCTTCCTGACCGCCTCGCCACTGCTCGCGACCACTTCCTTAGTCAGCAACCAAGTGACATCACCCTCACTGCCTTTATCACCGCCGTGTCCGCGATAGAGACCCAACATCGCACTATCGTTCAGTCTAGCGGTACTGCGTCGGTCCCTATCTTCCAGGGCTGTGCTCCCTCCCAGTGCACTTACTCTGACATTTCTGCCGCTGTCGCGGCCTCAGCGCAGCAGCGTCACGGTAAGGGCCGCCGCCCCAAGGGGGGGCGTGGCGGAGGGAAGGGTGGTGGGGGTGGTGGAGGTGGGGGCGGGGACGGTGGTGCGGACGAGGGGACCGGGGCTGGTTTTTCGGAGCAGCAACAATAGCAGCAGCCTCAGTTGCAGCAGCAGCAGTAGCAGCCTCAGCAGCAGTAGTCGCAGCAGCAGCAGCAGTCCCCGTGGGGTCCCCCGCCGCCATGGTGGACTCGTGGCGCTGGTAGTGGTGGTCGTGGTAGTGGGTCGCGCAGCTCGGTGTCGGGTGGCGGCTCCAGTGTGGCCACCTGCCACTACCAGCTTCAGTCTGGCCCTCGCCGGGGCACCGTCTGCGACCGTCCTGGTCACACCGCCGCTCGCTGCTACCGCCGCCTTGACGACCTCTTCCGTCTCCGCTTTGGTCCCACGTCGGACCCTCCTAACTGGTAAGCCTTGGTGCGATGTCGTGTGCCTGTCTTTGAGCTTGACATGGATCGGATTAGGGCTGCTATGTATGTCATGTATGCAGATGACTCTAGTGTGACTGGACCTTATTACCCGGTGTTGCCTAGTGTACAGTAGGTGTGTCCACTGAGTGTAGTCTAGTTTCATTTGCTGTATCACGCGTAGGACCACCTGCCTTGTTTGGACTCGGCTACAGGCTGGCTCCTCTGCCTGCGGCCGCTACAGCCGTGCTCTCGTTCGCGCTAAACTCTGGTGCGTCCGCCTGCTTCTTTCGCGACAACACTACGCTTACGCCGCTTGCTGCCCCTGCCACTGTAGCGCTTGCTGACCCCTCCTCAGGTCCGGTAGTTGCAGGTAGCTCCACTACCCTTCCTTGTCCGGCGGATCCCTCGGGCTCTCTTACACGCTTGCACATCCTCTCGTTCTTCAAGAACCTTGTTCATGTCAGCTGTTTTCAGGACCTCGATTTCACCACTGCGTTCCTTGGACGCGAGCGGTACGCATTCTATACCGAGGCCATCACTGGTGCCCCTCTCACCACGTTCCCCCGGGACTCCATGTCTGGCCTGTTCATGCTGAACACCGCGTCCCCCTCGGTCGGCACGTTCCTCTAGGTCACCGCGTCCTCCCAGTAGCTGCAGCCTACTCATGTCGGTTGCTCACCCACCCTTCACTGCTGTGGCACCACCGCCTAGGTCACCCCGCACTCCCGCGTCTGCGTCACATGTCCCATCATGGGCTTGTCTTCGGTCTCCCTGCGTCGCTCTCTGCCCTCCCTCCCTTGCCTATGCCGCCATGCCTGCCTTGCGTCGAGGGCCGGCTGTGCCATGCTCTTCACTCCTCCACGCTCCCCCCTACCACTGCGCCACTCCAGACCCTACACCAGGACGTTTGGGGCCAAGCCCCCGTCCCTCGGCCGCGTCGAGAGTGCTACTTTCTAGTGCTTGTCGACGACTACACGCGCTATATCACGATGTTTCCCCTGGAACGGAAGGCCGACGTGCCTGATGTTCTTATCCTGTGGGTCGTAGCTGCGCGAGTCCACCGCGGCCTCCCCGTGCTGCGTCTCCACTCTGACCGTGGTGGAGAGTTCGCCTCCGGTCGGCTTGGCCAGTTCTGTCGTGCGAAGGGCATCACCCATTCGTACACCCTGTCAGACTCCCCGCAACAGAATGGGTTTGCTGAGCAACGCATCGGTTTGGTCATTGAGGTTGCTCGTACCTCCATGATCCATAACCGTTGCACCCCATTTTCTGTGCTCGTTCGATGTTCGCTACGCCACTCACCAGCTTAACCTGTGGTCACACTCCCATCGGTCGCAGGTTTTGCCGACCCCTCTCTGGACCGAGTTCCCTGGTGACACGTCTGCGTTCCACGTTTGGGGCTGCCTTGCTCACATTCGTGCCTCTGGCACGGACAAGCTCACTACCCACACCGTCCTTTGTGTCTTCCTGGGTTTCCTCCTCGACACGTCTGACTGGCACTACTACTACCCGCCGTCTCACCGTTTCCTTCACTCACGTGTCGTCACTTTTGACGAGTCTGTCACCTTCTACACCCACTTTCCCCGCCGCGGTCTCCCGGTTGACCCGCCCCTGTTCCTGGTCACCACTCCCCCGGTAGCCCTTTCTCCTCTTCCTCCCCATCCTACCCTGTCTCGTGTGTCTCACGTCACTCCCCTCCCATCGGTTGTCCTGGTGGAGGAGTCAGCTGACTCCGGGGGCCCAGTGGCTTCGGTTTCAGTGCTTGTCTCTACCTCAATGTCTCCTCCTCCGCCGCCACCGTAGCAGCCGCCGTGGCCGCCGCAACCACAGCCGCCGCAACCACAGCCGCCGTCATCACCACCGCAGCAGCAGCCGCCGCACGGGACCGCGAGCTCTGGGGGTGTGGGCTTAGAGGATGGTGCTAGTCCTGGGGGTACTGTCGTGGCTTGATCCGGTGGTCCTGGGGGTGGAACTGGTGCTGGAGAGGGTTCTCGTTCTGGAGGTACTGTCGTCGAGAGTCCCGGAGGTAGCCATGGTGCAGCTGGAAGTTATGGTGTCAGAGTGGAGCAGCAGCAGCAGCAGTCGTCGCCGGTGTCCGCCCTTCGCCTCCTCTGTCTTCCCTCCCCTGACCGCCCGCCTGCGCCTCCCCCGCATGTCGACGGTGCTGTGTTTTTTCCGCCGGATTGGTCTCCGACTCGTGTTCCCTCGCGTTCTCCTCATGTGTCTCCTCCTTTGTCTCCTGACCACATGCGGCTGTCCCACTTCTGATCTCGCCATCCCTCTCGTGCTCGTCCAGTCTCTCCAGTCCAGCGCTCTCACCCTATCTTGCTTCGTTCCCACGAGTCTCGACCTCCCCTCTTGTCGCCTCCTCCTTCGTCGCTGGCTGTCGATCCGCCTCCCCTGTCTGACTTCCTCCGTGCCGCTAGTCCTCTTGTTCCTCGGTTCCTCGCCTCTCTTGTTTCCGACCTGCCAGTTTCTGTCTCTAGTCTTTACGCGCTTGTCGCTGACGTTACTGACTTTGCCGCTACTCGCCGCCTTGACTACGCCAACGCTCAGGTCTCTGACCCCGTCAGACCCCGTCCGTCGAGAGTGCTCCTGCCCTTGGCAATGACGTCTTGGAGGACAGACAGTACGAGCTTGCTTTCCTATCTGAGGCTGTGCCTCATCTTTGCTCCTTGCTGCTAGTCCCCGACGGTGATCCAGGCACCTTTGACATCCCGACCCCTCGCACTTACGCTGAGGCGACCTCGGGACCCTGGGCCTCTCAGTGGATAGCTGTTACGGACGGGGAGATGG